TGTCCAGGTTTCAGAGCTGCACATCAAAAACCTAGCTACAGTCTATTCACCAACAGACAAGTACCGGAATGTCCAAAGTGGCAGCTTCCTAACAACCTAGAAGCAAAATTACCCAAACGCCCCTCCACAGTGGGAGAGATCCGTGCATCATGGCACATTCACACATGGAATCCTACTCAGCAGTGGGAGTGCACAATTGAGACAGGCACACAGAAAGACAGGGATCTCACCAATGTAATGTTGAGCCAAAGGAGCCAGGCGTGAGAGTGCACACTGTGTGTTTCCATGGATATAAAGGAAACAGACACAGAAGCACGTCACAGTGATATGTAATGCAGAGGCAAGGACTACCCCTGGGGAGTGGGATTTCTAGAGACATGAAGGGAACTTAAGGGGGCATCTAGTGGGGTGGTGGTGATGTTGTTCCTAATCTGGGAGCTGACTGTAGTGGGGTGTCTATGCAGCTCGTTGAACCATACACTTATGACATGTACATTTTTATAAGACGGTGCTATGGTTTGAATGTGTCCTCTCAAAAGTTCCTGTGTTGGGAAACTTAACCCCCAAATTCATGTTAATGGCATTTGGAGGTGGGATCTTTGGGAGGTGACTAGGACTACATGAGGTCATGAGGGTGGGGGCCCCATGATGGCTTTAATAGCTTTAGAAGAGGAGGGAGAGGAACCCCCGCTAGACTGGGACGCCCTCTGCCATGTTGTCATGCAGCAAGAATGCCCTCAGCAGAAGCAGCCATGCCAGTGCTGAGGTCCTGGTCTTCCCTGCCTCCAAAACCCGGGGTCAAACAGATGATCTGATCTTCAAGCTCTTCTTGTAGCAACCGAGGACTGGGACAGACAGACATTGCACCTAGCAGGTGAGCCTGAGAAATCAGCTGAGGGTTATGCGTGGAGTGGCAGGTGCTTTGTTGGAGATAACATTAAGGTGTTAATTGAGTACTGATTTGGGAGTCTAGGGAAGTGGACCAGGATAAAGGATTTAAAAAAAATATTTAAGAGGGCTGGCGCTGTGGCTTAGCAGGTAAAGCCACCACCTGCAGTGTGGGCATCTCAAATGAATGCCCGTTCAAGATCTGGCTGCTCCACTTCCAATCCGGCTCTCTGCTATGGCCTAGGAAAGCAGTGGAAGATGGCCCCAAGTCCTTGGGCCCCTGCACCCGTGTGGGAAGACTGAGAGGAAGCTCCTGGCTCCTGGCTTCGGATCAGCACAGCTCCAGCCATTGTGGTCATCTGGGGAAGGAACCAGCAGATGGAAGATCTCTCTCTCTCTCTCTCTCTCTCTCTGCCTCTCCTCTGTGTAACTCTGACTTTAAAATAAATAAATAAATCTTTAAAAAAAAAAAAGATTTATGGGGGGCCAGCATCATGGCACAGAGGGAAAAGCCACCACCTGCAATGCCTGACAACCTATATGGGCACCAGTTCCATTCCTGGCTGCTCCACTTCTGATCTAGCTCCCTGCTAAAGCACCTGGAAAATCAGTGGAAGATGGCCCACATGCTTGGGCCAGCCCTGAATCCACAAGGGAAACTCAGGAGAAACTCTAGGCTCCTGGCTTCGGCCTGGTCCAGCCCCGAGGATGTTGTGGCCATTTGAGGAGTGAACCCGTGGATGGAAGATCCCTCTCTCTCTCTGTAACTCTGCCTTCAAATAAATAAATATTTTTTGGTGCTGGTTTGACTCCTGGCTGCTCCACTTCCAATCCAGCTCCTTGTTAATTGCCTGGGAAAGCAGCAGAAGATGGCCCAAGTGCTGAAACCCCTGTATCCATGTGGGAGACCCAGATGAAACTCCTGACTCCTGGCTTTTTTTTTTTTTTTTAAGATTTATTTATTTATTTGAAAGCGTTACACAGAGAGGAGAGGCAGAGAGAGAGAGAGAGAGAGAGAGAGAGAGAGAGAGAGATCTTCCATCTGATGGTTCACTCCCCAATTGGCTGCAACAGCCGGAGCTGTGCCAATCCAAAGCCAAGAGTCAGGAGCTTCTTCCAGGTCTCCCACGCAGGTGCAGGGGCCCAAGGACTTGGGCCATCTTCTACTGCTATCTCAGGCCATAGCAGAGAGCTGGATTGGGAGTCGAGCAGCTGGATCTCGAACCAGCGCCCATATGGGATGCCAGAGCTTCAGGCCAGGGCATTAGCCCACTGTGCCACAGCACTGGCCCCCTGACTCCTGGCTTTGACCTTGCCCACCTCTGATTGTTGTGGCCATCTGGGTAGTGAACCAGCAGATGGAAGATCTCTCTCTCTCTCTCTCTCTCCATCTCTCTATCTCTTCCTCTCTTTCTGTAACTCTGACTTTAAAATAAATAAATAGACCTCTAAAAATTTTTTTTCTATCTCTTCATACGCACCTACTGTTGAATTACAAAGTAGCTCCAAATTTCAATTCACTTACACACTCTTACTTTTTAAAAAAATTTTTGGGGCTGGCGCTCTGGCTTAGCAGGTAAAGTTGCTGCCTGCAGTGCCAGCATCCCATGTGGGTGCTGGTTCAAGTACAGGCTGCTCCACTTCCCATCCAGCTCTCTGCTGTGGCCTGGGAAAGCAGTAGAAGATGGCCCAAGTCCCTGGGTCCCTGCACTTGAGTGGGAGACCCGGAAGAAGCTCCTGGCTCCTGGCTTCTGATCACCACAGCTCCAGTTGTTGCGGCCAATTGGGAAGTGAACCAGCAGATGGAAGACCTTTCTCTCTCTTTCTCTCTCTCTGTCTCTCCTTCTCTCTGTGTAACTCTGCCTTTCAAGTAAAATAAATCAAGTTGGCTGGACCAACTGAGGCTGGGGGTGCGTGTGGCTAGAACTTTATCCGGGTGGCAGAAGCCTAAAGTCTTGGGCTGTCTTCCACTGCTTTTCCCAGGCCACTAGCAGGGAGCTGGATCAGAAGTGGAGCAGCTGGGACTCAAACTGGTGCCATACGGGATGCTGGTGCTGCAGGTTGCAGCTTTACCTGCTATGCCACGTGCTGGCGCTGAACTTCAACATTCTCATCTCCTGCCCAGTTCAGCTTTCCCGGTGAAGTTAGTCTCCATGAAGTTAGAAATACACCAACTGTTTATTCAACATCTCCACTCAGTTGACAAAAGGCACCTCAAACTAAGCACAGAAAAGACTGAACCTCTGAGTTTATCACCCAGCCAGAGTTCCTCACAGTCTTCCCCCTCGCAGTTACTCAAGTTACATTCTCCCAAAGACTTCAGGGTATCTCCCACTCCTTTCCCTCACGCTCCAGATCTAGTCTGCCAAGAAGTCTCAGTAGCTCTGCCTGCAAAACTCTTGCCGAATTTGATCACTTCTCTCCAACGCTGACTCCTTTGTCCAAGCCACCATCATCCGCCCCCTCAGCATTGTTCTCTCACCTTCCTTCTCTGTCATCTTCTGCTCTGTCTTCTTGAAACAGCTACCAGTAAAACTCTCAGAACCGGAAGGACCTACATGTTTGTCTTCTACTAATGCAACGAGGCAAGAGGGAAGCAGCAGGGGTGATCTTGGAACTTTCTTTTCTTTCCTCTGGCCCATGTCTCCTAACACACACACATTTCCTCAATCTGTCTTCCACGCTGCTGCAGAGAAATCTTTCTAAAAGGCAAGTCTTGGTCATGCCTGGCCCAGTGAAGATCCCTGGCAACGTTTCACAGCCTTCAGGGTAAGTTCCGAGCCCCTCCTCATGGCATACAGCATTCTTTCAGGCTGAGTCCTTGCCTTCCCCTTGGGTTCACCTCCCAGGTCTACTCTACCTGTCCTCACCTCACTAACTACCTAGAGTTGCCAGACAGGGAAATATAGAAAAAAACACTTCTGGAGAGATAACACACACGAAAGGAAGTGAGATGTGAGATAGGGTGCCATGAAGGAGCAGGTACAAAGTTAGGTAGCCAAGGGCAGAGTTCGTCAGGGGAAGGGGGAAGGCTGAGACGAGAGATAAGTGGAAATGAGGTCCTTTAGGGTCTGGGGGCCATGATCAGACTCTGGGGTTTTCGTCACTTCCAGCCCATCAACATTGCAGTTGACCAACCTGTACAATGACATTTGGTTTCCACCTCAGAGGTGGAACATCGTCAGATGGGATATTAAGCTGAGACACTTACATAACTGACTTCTGCAAGGAGGAGACAGGAGGCAGAGTTTCACAAGGAGCTGTCATCAAAGGATTACCAGGCCACTGAAGCAAGCAGAGCCAAGGGAGCAAGCCCTTCTGTCCCAAGGTGAACCCAAGTGGAAGAACACCTGGCTGAGGGGTCCAGCTCCATTGCTGCGGTTTTCTATGTCATTTCTCAGCAAGGTAGGGATTCTCAGCTCTTATAAGCGTCAGATGCAAAATCACCACCACCATCACAAAACAGGAACTTAAACGAGAAATGACACTCATCTTTCCTTGTAATCTTCAGATTAAGGAAAAACATAAAACACATACAAATATATTAACTGAATATTATTATATACTGTAAGTGTCATTTTAAAAATTATTGTCAAACCTTACCTTTAAAGAAAAGTCTCTGCATGTTATCTTTTAATTTATTGGATTGTTATACCAAAAATTCTAGTATTTGAAAATGGGCCTTAAATCAAAAGATGCAGACCACTACTGGAGACACCGGTGAGACCTTGAAGGATTTGAAGCAGGGTGGAGAGATGATTAAATGAGGGAAGTATCTGTGCACCAACTGAAATTTCCTGTCAACACATTTCCAAACACCACCTTGGATCGTTGCAATGTCTTTCTAGAGCTCTAATTCAGCATGACTTGCTTTGCTGAACAAACCTTAGTTGCATCTCATTTCCGAGGTCTTTCTAAACTCTCTTGCTCACAAAACCAAGAAAGTATAAATATGAAAATTATCCCAGTGATCCAAAGAAAACCCAACTGCAACAACAATACCAGCTAATATGTAACGAACGCTCACTCTCTGCCCAGCACAGGGCTCAGCACCTCACCTGCATTAGCTCAGTTCATCTTTTCAGTAACTCCCTAAGGCACATGGACTTTACCTCAATTTTCTCCGAGGTGAGCAGCACAGGTGGGATAACTTCTTCTCATCTTGAAAATATCAGGGACTTCAAAATGTCTGTGGAAAAAAACAGAATTAAAAGATAACCTTGTTTTCATACCAAAAAAAATTTTGAAATCTCAGAAGTCTTTTCATAATATGCATTTTCCATGCATTTTTGAAGACTTCTCATATATATACTAATTCTTTAAAGAGTTTTTATATAGATCATGTTTTTCATCTTAACAAAATCTCCTTTCGTAAACAGACCCTGATAGTACCTTTATTTTATAGATGCAACAGGAATCCTCTTTTAAAAAGCATCCCCAACCCATGAGCACATATAAATAATACTCCCCTTATTTTTGAATTGCGAATTTTGTGCATTCTGTCTTCAGAAGTCAGTAGTATCTTAGAAGAGCATTCCTACTGTCTGTCTTTTGATTAGTCTATTGATCAGCTGAGGAACTCACTTGTGGTTTTTCTGAAAATATCTTTTCTTGAACACAGGTGGCATATATACCAGTGGGTTCCTGATAATCAATACTGTAAGATGACGACAATGATACTCTTTCTATTAAAACAATGTCCTTTCTCCATTCTGATTAAAAAGGATAATTTGATTGTATATTATTTGGCTAAATCAATGTTATTGTATCATATTTGTCATCCTAGTTTGATGACCTAAAAAAGGCTTGCAAATGTTGATCATGTCAGAGTCTTAGGCCTTATGAGATTAAGCAATCATCACCACTATCATACTAATAGTAGCTAACTTGTAACACATGCACATGCAAAGTTCTGAATTTCATAATTAATGCTGTTTTTGTTTTATTTTGCTTTCCTTTGGCTTGCGGCAGCCAACACAAGGATACCTTAGTGAATAACGTATTTTCCTATTTCTGGTGCCAGATGTAATGTTCAGATCACTTTTGATAAGAGAATTGAACTGTACCAACATGCTCAATCCATCAACTCCCCCCCACACGTCTTAAATTTTCACTTTCTTCTTCTCTAGAAACCCTTTCATCTCTGTATCTAAACATATTAAACTCTCTCTTGCCTTAAAAAATTATAAAACACTTTCCCTTGTGCATGCCTTCCTAGCTGTCTCTTTCATCTTCCCTGCGGACGCTGGCCAGGCATCTTGACAGAGCGGCTTCTGGTCTACTTCTGCCCCGCTCGTCATTGCTCAATCCGCTACTCCCTGGCTTCCACCTTCAACGACACCCCAGAAGTCAGCTGAAACCACCGCTTTCCTCACTCCCGCCTCGTTGCCATACCAAAGGGGAACGTTCCCTCCTCGTCTCAGAGGGCTCTTGCTAGAGCCGCCCCTTCCTCCAGCCCTGGTGTAAAATTCACTTGTGGCGTCCTCCCAGCGCCCAGCGTCGCGGCTCCTCTGCGGGCTCGTTCCGCTGGAGCTGAGCTCACCGCCGAGACGGCTGCACCTGCTGGGGTGTCCGCAGGTCCACCTGACACGGCCCCGCGGCTTTGCCTCCCACAGGTGCTGCCCTCCTCACGCTGCAGACGGGACTTAGCATCCTGCCTTTCGATCTGTCCTCTACCCTCACGAATTACCGCCCTCCGCCAGGCCTCCCAGCGTCCTCCTCGTGCCCTCAAGCCTAGAGGCACGGCTGTGTGAGGCCCTGGAGACCCGACCTCGCCCCATTTCCCCAGTCCCACTCTGCGACCCCACCCCGACTTTCCCTCACGGGCCGGAGGGCGCCAGATCGGAGGCACAAGCCGCAGCCCCGCATTCCCATTGCCGCCAGCGCACAATCTTGTCACAGAATTTTCTCTTCACACTTCCTAAGACTGGATTTTCTTAGAGGGGAATGTTGGCTAATGCTGTTTTGGATCTCTAAGGCTTGGAAATGTGCCTAACAGGCTCTGACAGGGACAGAAATGAGCTCACTTGTACTTGGATACCACCATGGCGCTGGAAATGCACTCGCTTCTGAAGGGTTGTCAACACAGCTAGCCGGCATCAATCACCACTAAGCCAGTGGAAGGGTCGGGGGAAAAAAAAAAACTTCATTGTGCCTCCCCGTCGGGGAATCGAACCCCGGTCTCCCGCGTGACAGGCGGGGATACTCACCACTATACTAACGAGGAACTGCACGAGAAGTGGCCTTCTGACAGGTCCTTTATATGTTTTGATCCCGCCCGCTCCTTAACTTCCACAGGATTTGTTACCGTCGTAGTCTTCCTCTAAGTTAAACGCAAGCGTTCAATTTGCTCTCCCCGCTGTCTTTCTCACCATTTCCCTCGAACCATCCCTCCTCTAACTGCTCCCGCCTCCCTCCGCCTCTTCCTTCGTCTCTGGCTCCTAGAACCATCTCGGTCCCCTGACCACCCCCAACACACACGCTCCCAGGCAGCCAAGCGCGCGCCTTGTCGCGCTGCACCACGGGAATTGTAGTTCCGCCTTCACCGTCCTCCACGCTCCTCTGGCTTCAGAAAACTCCCTTTCCCGGCGTGCGCCGCGAGTCCCTCCTTTTCTTTTTCTCCCTCCCTCTCTCCTCTCAGTTCTCAGTCGAAGTGTGGCGGCTGAGTGTCGGTGTGCGGATCGGTGTGCGGCGGAACCCCCAGAGCCATGCCCGAGATCGTGGATACCTGTTCTTTGGCCTCTCCGGCCTCCGTCTGCCGGACCACGCACCTGCACCTGCGCTGCAGCGTCGACTTCACCCGCCGTGCGCTGACTGGGATCGCAGCGCTCACAGTCCAGTCTCAGGAGGACAACCTGCGCAGCCTGGTACGGTGGGCGCCTGCCCAGTGCCCACTTCTCCCCGGCCGCCCACCCAACTCCCGACCCACTCCTAGGCCCCGCGGGACCCAAGATCTCGGCTTACTCCGCCCCAGTTCTGCCCAGACCGGTGCCCCTTCGCAGCCCCCAGCCCGCCTTCTGCACCTCATCTTCAGCCTCCACTCATCATCTCTCAGCGTCAGCCCCTGCACGCGTTCTCTCACCCCCTGGTACCCTCCTGCGTCCCTGGGAGCACCCAGCGCGAGGTCCGCACCCCCGCGCCCAGCTCTCAATCTCATCTCTGCAGTCTGGTCCCTCCCGCTATAACTAGTTCCCGGCGCCCAGCGTGGCCTCCCCTTTGCCCCGGCCTTCCGCCCAGAACCCCCTCCTCAAGCCCCAGCCTTCTCGCTTGCGCTTGGCGGCCCACAGTCGGATCCAAGTCTCGGATCCCGCAGCCGGAGGGTGCCTGATCCCACGCCTCGGTCCCCGGCACCTCCGTGTCCGCCCGCAGGTCCGCAGGATCCCGCCGCTAGCCTCCTTTCCTCCATCTCCCTGCCACTGAACTGAAGCCTCTCTGGATTTGCAGCACCGTCAGACCTCTTCTCTCTGCCCTGCCCCGAAACATCCAACCTCTGCTTTCTAACTCTAGGAGCAACCTTTGTCTTCGGGGTCCCTCCTCCGCTTGATTCTTAGCTCTGCCCTTAACTTGATGGGTGGGACATTCCAGCTTTCTAAGGATGGCTCAAATACGGTTTATCAGTAGTTGCTTCCAGCGAGCAAGTCATAACCACACTGCTTAGGAAATATGCACCTCTCTGAGCTGTCTAAGCATTTGTGTAAAGACAGACTTAAGTTCATGGAACGCTGTTCAGTGGTTTCTGTCTGTACTGCATAGCCTGTGTTCCGCGTTCCTACTCAGACTGTCTGGGGGCATGTGGATTGTGCCTTCCAGCCAGAGAATGTCCTGGAAGAGCATTTTAGACATAAGAGGAGCACGGAAAGGCCAGCTTCTCACCAGGACAGGGTGATAGAGTTTATTTTGCACAGTGGTTCTAGCTGGTAAAGCAATCAGATCGGGCATGCTGTAAGCTTGAGGACAGAAATTAGTGAGGCCAAATAATTGGGTGAAATTACTAGTGTAGCATTGGTAGCTTCTGTCCCTCTTTTTCCTGTTTGTATAGAAGGTCTGTGTTTTGAGGTCGCTGATGTGAATTAATGAAGTCCCTTTCTTTCTTACTCTTTGTCCTTTAACATTTTGCTAGACTCATGGATTTGAACAACAGGTCGACTCCTCCGGGTATATATGTATAATAAGTAACCACCAAGAGTACTGTAAAAAAGACATGATAAGTGTTATAAGCAAGAAAGGAACTGCTTCCTTGTAGGTTGCACTTTGGTCTTCTTCAAGTACTGTGCTATCTTTTATTAAGTCAGGGCAGCTTTACCTGGGCTGCGCCAAAGTCAAGTCCTGTTTCATTGCCGTCTCTCCTGTTATTGAAAGAAAGTGGCCCTTGATAGTTGATCACTGCTTACTATAACCGTCTGCTCTGATCTGGTTTTTAAAAAGAAAAGCTTTACCTCTGCCTCCCGACTAAGCGAGAGTCGCCAGGATGCTTAGTTGTGGAAAAGATTGTCCCAGTCTGAACACCTGCCTGTGGTTTTCAGAAAAGTAAAGCTTTTATGTTTTCTGGTTGGCATGTCTGTTTAGTAAAGTAGAGCCTGGAATTTTTAAAATGCTAGATTTTATACAAGGAGGGCTATTTGTAGTACAAAGTGACATCTGTTTATCATTTGCTTATTCATGACAATAACCCAAGACTAGGATCTGTTTTATGTATTGACTTATTTCTGAAGTTAGCTTGTTTCCCCCTCTCCTGGAGGTAGGGACTGTTTCCTATCTCATTATGTCTCACGTTTCTAGTATAGCACCTAGCATGTAGAAAGCTCTCAGAGGTTTGGTTAGTGGATGGATTTAATACTTGTATGGGCTACCTTGAGAGTCGTGCTAACTGGATCTCCAAGGTGAGATGGCATGTCCCTCATCACCACCCACAGAAGGGCCAGGGCCAGTGCTGGGTGAGGAGACGTCATATTTTTTCTACTCCATTCTCAGTGTTCTTGTTGCTGAAGAACTTGATGCTATTAGAACTAATTCCCAGCTTTATAAAATTATCTTCAAGTTTTGACTAATTTACATTGATGCTTGGTATACAAAATTTGTGGCAATTTTCAAGCATTTGTTTCTTGGAGTGAAATTTTTAATTTTGGGTGGTAGGATGGGGTGGATATTCTCTGAGTTGGTAGCTCAAGCAGGCTTCAGCGTCATGGCTGAGATCATGTATTGGAAAGAGGCAGAAGCCAGGAACTGAACACAGCTTCCTGTCACTACAAAGCCTTTGTCTTCCCCAAGTAAATGGCTGAGCTGTGGATCAAATCCAGGTGCTGGTTTTGGTTTGGGTTTTAAACCATAATCTTGGCCGGCGCCACTGCTCACTAGGCTAATCCTCTGCCTGTGGTGCCGGCACTCCGGGTTCTAGTCCTGTTTGGGGCGCCGGTTCTGTCCCAGTTGTTCGTCTTCCAGTCCAGCTCTCTGCTGTGGCTCAGGAAAGCAGTGGAGGATGGCCCAAGTGCTTGGGCTCTGCACCTGCATGGGAGACCAGGAGGAAGTACCTGGCTCCTGGCTGTGCATCAGTGTAGTGCGCCGGCCGTAGCTGTCATTTGGGGGGTGAACCAACAGAAGGAAGACCTTTCTCTCTCACTGTCTAACTCATGTTTGTTTTTTTTTCTTCATAGCCCTCTACAGATAACAAGTAGAAAATGTAGAGACAGTAATGAAACATAAAGTTTTTAAAAAATTCTCTACTTTGTAACATATACATTATAAAATTATAAGTAATTAAAGCATCGGAGAAAGAAAAAGGATAGGAAAACATGGTATAAAACCCAATACACATAAAAAGAAATAGGCCACAAGGTTGACATGGGACTTCCCAGCAGTCTCTGCAAAAAGGGAATTAGTTATATATGTCTCATGACGATTGGCCAGCCATTTAAAATTGCAACCCTTTTTGGGGAACATTGATCAAAGAGGAAATAGTAAATTATATCATCAATAATATCCTATCATAAGTAGGGCTTTTTTAAAAAAATGATTTGAGAGTATTTTTTTTAAGAGATTTTATTTATTTATTTGAGAGGTAGAGTTACAGACAGTGAGAGGGAGAGACAGACAGAAAGGTCTTCCTTCCATTGGTTCACTCCCCAGATGGCCACAGCAACCAGAGCTGCGCAGATCCGAAGCCAGGAGCCAGGTGCTTCTTCCCAGTCTCCCATGTGGGTACAGGGGCCAAGCACTTGGGCCATCTTCTACTGCTTTCCCAGGCCAGAGCAAAGAGCTGGATTGGAAGAGGAGCAGCCGGGACTAGAACCGGTACCCATATGGGATGCCAGTGCTGCAGGTGGAGGATTAACCTACTGTGCCACGGCGCTGGCCCTGATTTGAGAGTATTTCAAAAAATTAGTGGAGGGGCAGGTATTTGGCCTGGTGGTTAAGACCAATTGGGCCAGCCACATCCCATATTGGTATGCCTGCATCAGTACTCAGCTCCACTCCAGCTTCCTGCTAATACAGACACTGGAAGGGAACAGTGATAGCTCAAATGATTCAAGTTCCTGCCACCCACAAGGGAGACCTGGGTCCTGGCTGTGGGCCCACAGCTGGAGCTGTTGCATGCATTTGGAGAGTTAGTGAACTAGCAAATGGGCACTCTCTCTCTCTCTCTGCCTTTCATATAAATAATTTATTTTTAAAAGCTAATGGTAAAATAGACTTAAAGGTAAATTTGGGGCTAGTCTTGTGGCACAGCAGGTTAATCCACCATCTGCAATGCCAGCATCCCATAGCAGAGGACCAGTTGCTCTGCTTTCAATCCAGCTCCCTGTTAGTGCTCCTGGGAGAGCAGTGGGACAGCAGGAGTACCTGGGGCCCTGTCACCCACACAGGAAACCCAGATGGAGGTCCAGACTGCTGGCTAGCCCAGCCCTGGCTCTTGTAGCCATTTGGAGAGTAAACCAGCAGATAGAAGATCTCTGTCTCCCTCTCTTACTCTGCCTTTCAAATAAATATATAAAATCTTTTTTAAAAAATAAATTTATTTTAGTACACCAGACATTTTTGAGATTCATGCAGTATTTTCATAGTGCACATTTCCCCTTGCATATGGGTATCTTGGCCTTGCATATAGTCGGTGCTCAGTAAATGTTGAGAAGTACTAATTCCAACTTGACAGGTATCCAGTTCCCTTTGCTTCTCTTTCTGATTACAGTTCTTGACCACTTGTTGAATTAGCATTTAATAGTGAAATTCGAAAGGGAGTTTCTTAAGTGATTGGAGGATAATAGTTGCTGCTTGGCACTTCAGATATACTGCTTACATGTTGCATTTTCTGTTTCCTAGAACTTGTTTTCTCGCATTAACTGACACTAATTTTAGTTGGTTAAGAGGGAGAGAGGCTGACTATTCTCTGCTTTACTCCCCGGCCCACGGCTGGCCAGGACTTGGCAAGCTGAACCTGGGAGCC